TTTATTCTAGATAACAGATGCACTGCTGTTGCAAAAGCAGGCTGTGCACTTGGCATAGCATTTAGTACAGCAGCCCCTAGCAACATTTTCTTACCCCCATCGTGGGGAAGTCTGCATCTGTGCTGGAATAGGATAGATAGCTACTTAAATATTTACTAAAGGAACTATATTATATGCTAAATATTTATAGAATGCATGCTTCACAAAAGCATATCTGTGGAATAAGTGCATTTGGTTTATCCTAGGTATATAAGTTTACTTTTGGAAATGTTCTTGAACAATGCAAAGTATGACACTTTTATAGCATGTGACAAATTGAGTTTGTGTTAAAATCATATTTGGAATTGTAAGTTTATAACAGAGCATGTAGATCATTAAGAAGACATTTAATCCATTTTACCTAGGGTATAGGTCCATATAAAACTCGATAATGAATAAGTTTTTATGTTTCAAATGATAAGATTATTTTAACTCCGTAGTTTTTATGTGCTGGAAGTGTTAAATTTTTAATTGGGTACTCAAAATCATCTTGAGTGATGAATTTCTTTTAGATAATACTTCCCTTAAAGTTGAAGGAAAAGCTTCACAGAGGTAGCAGTGACAGGAAGATTTTTGGATCAGGAACCAAGATGAATGTGTGCACAGACTCTTTTATACTCATACCCAGACAAAAAGCAGTGAAACCACAAGGTCCCTGCAGATTCTCACCAGAGGAGCAGCTGAAGGTGTCACAGACTGGCACAAAAGGTACCCTGCTGCCGTGGAAAAACAGAACTGGTTCAAACACACACAGAAAAGAGAGTTCTCCCTCCTAATTTCACTTGGCTTGGTGAAGTCCCACCAAGACAGATTCATTTTGATCTGAGCCTGCTGAGGAACTTTTCTTCATACTAAAAACCTCTGGATGCAACACAGCCCACCTGACCCAGAACAGATTAAACTGACAACCCCCTGGAACAAGTTCACTGTGAAACACTGGCAGAGCCCTAGGAAAGGCTACACATCTTCCCTTCCCGTATCCAGCCACCTCTTATTGCTGTGAAAATCCACTCTCTGGTGCAAATTAGGATTCAGCCTAAGACCTCTGCTCTGAGTAATCCCCACCGGCTCCTTTTTCATAGAGATCACCTGCAAACCATGGAGATCTGTGATGCCAAAGCCTGGGAAGTGGTTTTTCTGAGATCACCAAAAATGTACTATGCAATATTCTCCCAGGTCTTTGTAGGAAACCCTGCCAGGTCTTTGTAGGAAACGATCAACTAAATAATTTCCACAGTTGTTGGCCCCTGTGGGATTCCATCAGTGTCACAACACAAAATCAAAACCAGTATTAGTTCTGAATATTTGAGCCACAAATAGATAGATCATTACTTCCAACAGAAAGGCAGTTTTAAGTGAATAATATAAAAGGTGCAGTAAAAAGCTTTGGGTCCTAAATACTTAGCGGCTACTGCTGTCACAAAACAAGGTGTCATTCTAATTAGTAATGGCGAAAAGAACGACACAGACTCTCAAGGGAGTCAGAACAGGAGAATTCTTCTAGTTTATTGCTCCAGGTCTCTTTATAGACTGATACGTGGAAAGTACAGAAGGGAAACTCTTATTGGTTAGCAAATCACCACATCACCATCATTGGTCAGTGGGGCACAACACCCTCTGACTCTCTCTTGCAAGGAAAACAAGAGGACAGACAAACAGCACCTGGCAGTTGTTTTCTGTCTCTAAGGATTGTTTTGAAATCCTCCCATGAATTTCCCAGGCTAGCTCTCAGGCAGGACTGAGAGGCCATGGGGCCTGTAATAACTACAGGCACTCTGGTTCAGATTTAGCATCCATAACAAGGGACAGAGAGATGTGCATGGCTGCCCCTCCTCCCAAAATTATCTACAACACGCAAGGGATTTCTCACTCACAGGAAACACAGGAAATGGTAGAGGAAAGAAAAAGGGTGCAAAATGAGACGATATCTCTCAGCATTGGATAAAACAAACTCTGGCTTAAAGGAAGTACTAAAGTAGGCAGATTGTGGACAGACACCTGCACGAAAGTGGTGTACATCCAAACCTAGGTTATCGCTTCTTTGTACACACATAGACAGTTTACTTCCAAATACTTCTGTTTCTCTGTCTCTCTTCCTTTGAACATGCACTTCCTCTGTTGCTACACTTCGTGCTTAAATAAACCCCACTGCATGGTTCTCCTGCATCACACGATTCCTGTTTGCTGATCACTGCTCAACAGCTTTAACTGGACAGGACAAATAAAATATATTTGCAATTTCTTATCTAGAATGATTGCACAAAAACTGTGGAGATTTGAACTGAAAGAACTGCACTTCCACACTGGAAGTGAGGCACTATTTCTGTCCACATAACATGGCTTAAGGGAAGCCAACCCAATTTAATTTGTTCCATTAAGCAAACAGTGCTTTCAAAGTTGCAAAGCTTTCAAAAGAGGAAAATACAGAAAGCTGCCTAGTAAAATATACAGAAACAGCTCAGAGTGATTGACTAGACCTTCTAGATGTCTAATTAGAAACACTTCAGAAGGCACTTAAGTGCTGAACTTTTGAATTAGAGTCCATCCTGGAGAGCCTGAAATTTAATGCCTCCATATTTAAGGCATTACAGACCATGATAAAAAAAACCCTTTCCCCTTTTTCCTATGTTGCCATTCCTGTACTTATCTGTGAACACTAAAGCTACAGGGTACTCTGCATCTTAATTCACTTTTTCACTGTACCACAACATTTTCTGGACCATTGCCTTCATCCACTTTTAAAGCACAAGTGCATTTGAATACTGACAAAAAGAATGGCAGATTTTAGCATTAATATATATGCTTGCTACAGAGCGTGGAATTCAAATCCCAAATTTTCTGCCTCTGAGGAAAACCTTGAACTTCAGTGAAGACCTCCCACAGAAACCAGGAAAGAATTAATGGGCTGCTGAGTTCCTAATATGTCCCACCCTGTGGCACCTGAAGGAAGTAGGTGTTAGACTGGCAGCGAACAGCTTGACAGGTTGAATTTCCAGCTATTTATGGCAACTGACTGAGGGGCCTGGAGCCAAGGACGACCGTTCCCAAGTAAAGTCTGCCTTTGGCAAAGAAAGCCTGGCAGAAAAACAGTGATTTTTCTCGCTGCCAGTGACTTGGGGGTCTCTGACACCAAGTGGGATGGAAGTATTTGCTGTTGTTTTTCCTTTCTGACTTTTATTCATCACTGGAGGGGTGAGGAGGCTGCTGAGCGCTGGGCCCAGAAGGGGCAAAAGGGTTTATGTTCTTGTGTGTTTACTTTGGACTTCAGGGGCCATAGAGAGAGTGGAACTTTTTTATGCAACACAGCTGGCAGGAGAAAATCTCCCTGATTTGAGGGTGTTGGAAGGTGGATGGATCAAAAAAAATTCAGAAGGAAACAATTTCAGAGTTACTATTAAATCATGCTGCTCGGGAAGGGGATGTTCTCTGGGCATTATGGCCACACTGATCAATTCTCACTCCTCTAAGTGACAGTCTGCCTTCACAGACAGTCTTGAGCAGCTGACTCAGCCCATTGTGACCAAACCTCCCAGGCAAACCACCCTGTCAGAAGAGCCCTGCCCAGTTCCCCTCAAGTACAATTATTCCAGGCTGATGGACAGACAGACACTCCTGTATCACAAGCTGGTTTACCAATACTCAGAGAGGGCAGCAGGACCAATGCTCATTTCAGTACTCCAGTAGCCGAAGCAGATTTAAAGATAAAGCAAAGGAATTAATATATAGGAAAAGCAAGCTTGAACACTCTGATTTTGGTGCCTTGTACAGATGTTTGATGTGTAGACATTTTGGGGTAAATATTTTATTTTCTGAAAAACAGACAATTTAATTATCCCACATAAAGCCTCACAATTGTTTTGTTTTGGTTTTTTTTTGTTTTAGTTTGGATTTTTTTAGTTTATTTTGATTTTGGTTTTGAGGTTTTATAGTTTTGGGGTTTTTTTAGCTTAAGCAAATAACAAAAACTAGCTACCCATACAAACTGAAGAAAGAAGGGACTATGTTTACTGGGAGATTTGCCAAGGCACAGGAGATTTAGTTTTAAGTCTATCCTCTTCCTCAAGGCCTTCAAATCCCTATGTGGGACGCACCCTTATCTTTCCTTTAGAGGGAAATCACCCTGAGGTGTTTTGTTCTCAAAAAGTTCCTGGAGCTGTTTCACCTTGCATGGAATATCAGCCAAAATTCTAATCCCTGTACAAATAAATTTTCTATACTTGTATATATTGACAGTAAAAGAGGGATGATGTCTGTCAGTCCCACATGACCATAGTCAGGTCATTTTGTTGCCTACAGCATTATCACAGCCTGTGAGAGAAGGATCCAATGCCTGGAAACAAGTTTGGTTTTTTTCTCTTTTGTTTGTTTGGGGTTTGTTTGGGATTTTGTTTCATTTTGTGTTTTTTTGGTTTTTTATGGGCTTTTTTTTGTTTTTGTTTGTTTGTTTGTTTTTTGAGATGCTATTGTGCAAGAAAACAAACAAACAAGAATGTCACAGCACCAGGACAAAAAGTAAAACATTTCAACCTCAACTCACACACCACATTTCTTGGTGTAAGGAAACAGAAGTGCTCAAAGTATGAGAGAAATATTTTCTCAGTGACTCCCCACCATAATTGTAGATGTTCACCTTCTCCCCAGATATTCCTAGGAAAACATAATTCTCCTGATTTTTTCAGAGCCAGGATATTTGATAAACTTCTGTTAACACAATGGACAATTTCACAGTGAAATTAAAAAAAAAAAACACAGATGGGGCATATCAGAGATCACACTGCACCAAGGCTCTCCAAGCCTATGCCTCTTCTTTCATCAGGCAGTTGTACAGTTAACATCCCCTTGGATTCTTTCAGAATTATCTAATTCACTCAAACATGTGCCTAATTCCAAGATGGTTCTTTTTATTAACATCAAAGGGCTTTGGATCAGACTCTACTGAAAAAAGAGAAGTTTCTACAAGGTTATTGTGCATTTTTTATCAGGTACACAATAGTGCTTCTGTGACTCCTGTCCCTGCCTCACCTATCATCATACACATGTTAGCAGGTAACAGGGCATTAAAGTCATCAGTGTCCTCCAGGAAAGCTGCAGGAAGGTTTCTTGGCATGCACCAAGCAGCAGTTCTCATAAGGGATCACCTGCACAAGCAGCACATTCCCACCTCACTACCCACACTCTCTTGCAAGTACACAGATGTCTTGCCACAAATTACTGTGACTGAAAAGGTCTGAGTTGCAGAGGGGCAGAGGGAAAAAGGAGTTGTTTAAAAACCGTTTCTGCCTGATTCTGAACTTAAAAATTGCATATGCCTGGAGGTTAGAGAGTAGCTGTCCCTAAGCATCTCTTTCCTAGCTTTATCTCTACCCCGACCAACCAAAATCATATTTTTATGGGCTTCATTGTAGTTATCATAAATCAATAATTTACAACTTCAAAATACACATTCTCAAATGACACAGCTCTGGTCTTCATAGTAAATTAAGGCCCTACCTGAAAGAGGGCAAAACTTCCCTTGCAGCCAAATAAAAAGGCATTCAATGGGATACCAGACAATCATAACAGCCCCAGTAGAAAAAAGTAAATTGTAAAAATAATATTATCCAACGATGAACACAAAGCCCTTGTAACACCACTTCCCAAAAGACTGCTCAATTGCAAGTGTTTTAATTTCAGTGAATGCTGTAAAACTTGAAATTAGTAAATTAACACAATAAAATTAGTTAACTGTAAATTAGATTAAGTTTCAAGGGAAATGAAGTAATGACACTTTTTACATTTCAGACCTTGCACAGCTGAAATTATGCCCTTGAAGAGTATTTCCCTGCCCTTACACTGTTGAAATCCCTGATACTGTCAATACTAAGTACAGAAAAGTACTCGAAATTCTACAAAATCATTTTTCGAAGCATGACTAATAAAAGCAGACCAAAAAGTTAATAGAGTAAGTAATTTGGAAGATGCTGAAAAGTATTAATAAACAAGACACACCCTTTAATACACCTGGAAAATATCAGAGAGTGGAAAATGACCCGAGCAAATAATCATAAATTTCAACTGAAAAATGGAGTGAGGGAAGGATGATTTGGAGAGTTTGTGTTCACTGCTCAATCTTAAATAATGGTCTAAGTACTAACAAACAGGAAACATCTTTGCTCAGGTGCTGAATGTCTTTCTTCCTGGAGCATATATAGGTTGAAGATGTGCAGCACATCATATAACTGGTACTCTAAAAATGGACCCTGTATAATCAGCCTCCCACTAGAAAAGAACAGGAATTGCAATGATTCATGGTTTACTCTTCTAATTGCAATTAAGAAACCAAATCTTACTTTAAAAAATACTGATATTTACAGGACATAAGAGCATGTGTTTACTAGTAATGCCACTGCTCTTAGAAAAAAAATTCATATAGCATGTATAATTGGGAGAGTAATTTTTAGATCTGTGAATATATGATCCCTACAGTTCACAAAATCCAGACTCCTTTACCAAATTCCACTCTCCTTCTCAGGAAATAAAAAAAAAAAACAACCCAGAAGTTGCACTAAACTAGGCTCAAAGCTGGTTAGATGGAAATCACAGTCCGAGAATGGCAGTAAAGGGGTTTAAATTTTCTGTCTGAGAGCATCAGCTGTGGTTCCTAAGCCTTACTGTGGGGCTGGAGAGCCACCCTTTGGTCACTGCTCTAAGTGCAAAATCAATATAACTGCACATGGACAGCTTCTGCCTTCTGAGGAGGGCTCTTGATGAACACCTAGAAATTTACTAGTCTCACCAACAGCTGTTCCAAGGATGTCTGGCTTAACACCATTTACAGAGTGCATCTTACCTCACAGGGGTGGCAGGGAGGACTTTCTGCACATGGGGGGCTTTGAGCATGTTATGTGCTGAATGCTGCTGTTCCACTCCGTGCCCTCTGTTCTGTCTTATAATGGACACAAACCAATTCCCACAAACTGAGTGCCTGCATCATTTCTCACTGAAATGAAGATGAAAGGAAACAGAACATTTGTAGCTTTGTAGGTTTCTCTTCCCAGAGCTCAAAATTGACTAGATGAAAAGGTTACACCTGAATGACAAACTACTTTGTTACACAGATGAATGTGAGAAGGAGAGCAACACACAGAAAAGACCAGCAAACTGCTACCATAAAACAGGAAAATAGGCTGGACACTTCTGTAGAAAGGCAAAATCCTCAAAGAATGTAAAACACAAATATTAAGATCAAGAGAGGGCAGCCAGCAGGGCAGAAAGGGAAACCCATGGAAAGCAGGCAGAGAGATTAAACTTAAGTCCCACACAACTCTGATTTCACATTGAAAACCACAAACCATTCCCGTAAAGAAAGAAGCTTTTATGCTCCCTCTTAGCCTTGATGTGAGCAACCTTCTTAAATGCTTCTGCATTTTATGAGGACAGACCGAGTTCCCAGAGTTTTCCATTTACTCCTCCCTCAGGACTTTGGGGGCTGTTTCTTCTTTCAACTCAGGATCATCCTCTACCATAGTCAGCTTTTGCTGGTCAGTATCAAGGGGAATAAGTCCATGAGGCAGAGAAGATAAATAGCGGATATATAAAACACTGGATAGCCCAGACACAGCAAGAAAGCAGTAGTCTGGAATTTAGATACAGACTTTGGAACACCAAGACCAGAAAACTTAGATGAACTAAAGACTGTTGGGTGACCAAATAGAAAAAAAGAAGGAAAGAAACAGGCTGGAAATAGCCATTAGTTCAAAACACATGTAATTGGCAGAGGCTGAAGTAATTAGCGGTTGCTGAGGTCATTAGCACTTGCTGAAGACTTCTGAATAGCCAAGGAAGCAGTTACAGCACTGAGGACAAATGTACTTCACATGCTCAGGAACTCTTTCAAACACTACATACCACAACAACTTTGTGTTCCCACTCACTTGTCATTTTTGGAGATGCAGATGCCAGGAGCTGGAAGGATCTCTCCAAGCCCACATGGTAAGTTAGGAGAACATGAGGACAAGAGAGGAATTTTCAGCTGATCAGACTGCAAGGACTCTCTGGCTACTTCTAAAATGAAGGGCCTTTTCCTCCCACCACCAGAGAAAGAAGAGCACGCTGGATCACTGAACATTTCCATTGGCTAAAAAGTGTTTTAATTATTCTGTTAGTGGCTCTCAGACACTTCTCCTTGCCACAAAATATAAAAAATGAATATGAAATATAAAACTGATAAAAAGAAAATGAGTCATTACAGTGTTTGGTTTCTTTCTTGAGGTACTGGGTCACACACACTGCATACTTTTCTGTAAATGATTTTGTTTAAAAATCCCCATTTATTTTTATTTCAGCCTGTAGTAATGTATACTAATTAATGCTACCACTAAATTAAACACCAGTTTTGATTTGTGACTGCAGTACTGTTAAATGTCAGTGTAGGAGGCATTTGCACCATGAACTGACGAGAGGGTCTGACTGTATTTACAGTCAGACACATCTTTGTCTTCTGCTTTTGAGCAGGTGTTCAAGGTGGTCACTTGATTGCTGGAAGTTGAAACCAAGATAAACCCAGTGTGGAAAGGCCTCTTCTGAAAAAGAGTAATTGCACCAAGAAGATGATGTCACAGTTTTTGGAATTATGACTGCACTAAGAAATGAATGGGCTTGAAAGCACATGATTTGATACACCCCACTGCAAACCCAGCAGTTTCTTGGTCAATTTCCTAGGAAAGAGAATGGTGCAACTTGGATGCAAGTACTGGTCACAGTTGACTGTAGGGTACTGAATCTGGAACTGAAAATAAATTTAGGAAAGCAAGTAGCATAATGTGACTAAGATAATTTATCACCAGACAATGGCACCCTGCTTATATTTATTCTGAAACACTTCTGAAGGAAGCATCTCATGAAAGTCACCTTCTTGCTCCATTGCAGAAGAGCAATTGTGTGGTCTGATACAGCAGCTGTACGATGTCTTCAAAGGAAATAAAAACACATCAACATGGACTTAGCTAATTGAAGTCAAACATAGCTGAGTGGCAGGCACCACTTTGGGCTGATGCATGACATTCTCCACCAGGCTGCAAAAGTTCCACCCAAAAAGGTAAATTTTAGACATCCAGAATACCTTGTGTTGTTTTTTCTTTAATCCTAAAAATGTTCAAATACAAATGTCCTCATTCTGGAGAAGTTTTCTGGGATTTTCTGTTTGCGTTACGACTGGTGATTGGAAGCACCAAGATTAATGTGTGAGCAGTGATTGGCAAGGCACTTTAAGACTGGTAACCCTTTAGTAAGAAATGGTTTTATTCAAAACTGTGGAAAAGCAAGGAGTTACAAGGACCTTGAGGGAACCACTGCTGCCTCCTCCTCTGTACAACAGGCCCCTGTTTTCAAAAGATTTAGATTCCTGAATTCTGATGAAGAAATAAAAAAGGTATCTCCACACATTAGGAATGTGTGCTTTAAATCTCATCATGTGGATGAGCAGCTGGAGCAGAACCAGAATACCTACAATGTGTTTAGCACATGTCTAACCTGGCTCTTCTCATAGTAACCAAGAACTTTTCCTCTCTGTGTTGTGAGGACACACATTCCAGACCTGGGCAGGCACCTCAAGATGCTTTTGCATTTGTCAGCTACAAGGAGAAAAGGGGCCAATCATGGCCACAGTTCTCTCTGGCAAGAGGCAGAAATGGGAAGGAGCGCCCGCAGTATCCCCACAATGATATCTAGAATCGCCACAAAGGAAAGTTCACAGTGAGCACCTTACAGTGCCCTTCGCAGAGACGAACAACAGTGGCTGGCAAACCTGAGGCAACCTCTCCTGATGACACAAGGAAGAGACAACACTCACATGTCCCTGCTCTGGGGAAGGTGTTCAGGGAGTCATCTACAGAAGCCAAGCCTTCCAGGTGTGTCCCACAGGAGTGTTACTAATCAGGATGCGCCTGCAGCAGGATCACGTCTGCCCATGCTCAAGGACATTTTCACAACAGGCAGCTCGAAACTACAATTTGATCTTTAAAACTCAGTTCTAGGTACTACAGAACACAACAAGGTAACTAAAACTTAAACCTTCATGACAATTAGGAAACTCCACCCTTTGAATAAAGAGCCTCTTTACCTCTATCTTAATAGTAGTTTGAAATGCTGCCAACTTCAATTAAAGGAGCATCTACTTTCCAATTAGCAACTGTAGGCAATTCCTACCAGTCCCTGGCAAAGCATTGCACTATAAATGATCCAGAGGAAGTTCTTCTTGATGGGACCCCAATTGCTGGCACCTTTGAGAATCTCACTTGCTGCCATGGAAGAGATAAAAATGGGACAGCACAAGCAATTTGAAACTGCGCATTTGACAGAACATTGCTTGCCTGTATTTTAAAATAAATAAATCCTGTTGTGATTTTGATTATACTAATTTTTTACTTTATTGAATTGTTTCCACTTTAAAAATGTATATGTTTTGTTCTACACTGTCTATTAGGACGAAAAATAAAACCAGACTGATCAGTTTTGCTTTCGGAACTGCTGTATCAGTTGCCAACACAATTATTTTATGTTTAAATTGCAAACAATACCTGGTGAAATTTTAATCCAAACCAGTAAAATGTTTAAATTAACATCTTAAAACTGTTTCTGGAAGCATTTCTCTTCATATTGGATTCTGAAACCTTTTTAGAGAACAGAATCAGTATTTTATGCCTGCATTATGCAACCACATTACATTCTGAAAATGGAATTATTCAGAGGGAGAAATATCTCATCAAAGAACGATTAATGAACTGAAAAAAAACCCTCATAGTGTTACACTTCTCGCCCATCAGGCAAATACATAGAACAGATCAGAATGTTTTGTCCAAAGGCTGGGAAACGCCCCAGTGACTCCCAACTGTCTGTGAAGATGTTATACTTCAGGAAGAGACGCTGCTCCAAGCTGGAAGACAGAGCAATATTCCTACTCAAGATATAGACTCCATCATTGTGGAGAGTGCAAGTCAAGTTAAGGCCAGATTTGGATGAGTTCTCATTGAGGTAGAGCCACTCTTTGGTGGTAGTGTTGTAGGACTGTACCGTTAGCAGGTCCTCGCTGGGGCCAGATCTCTGGTTTGGTCCAAGGTCGAGGATGCAGCCTCCCACCAGGTAGATGGTCTCCTCCACAGACAGCATCTGCTGCTTGCGGATGTGCATGTCACACAGCTCCAAGTTGGTCCAGGAATCAGAAGTGGGACAATACTGCAGGATGCTCATGTTCCTGCCTGAAACAGAGAGGAGACATTCACAAATAAATAATTCTGTCAGAAGGCACTCATGGGGGAGCATTTTTCTTTCCTACAAAGCATCCCAGCCTTTACTGCAGATTGTTCACACACTTGCAGGGTAAACCAGGGGAGAAATGGTGATCACCGACAGCTGCAGCTCTTTGCCGCTGACAAGAAACTTTGTTCTGTTCCTTGGCACAAGGGAAAAAAAATATGATACTTCTGGCACATTACATGATGTAAATTGTCTAGGCCAGCAGATTTTATCCCTACTTTTTGGCTTATGCTTTTAATTTTGTCTCTGATTGATACAAAAGAATTTTTTTACAAAGAGGGAAATGGAGCAATAGTCCCCTCTCCAGAAGTGGTCACAGATAAATCACACTATTCTGAAGACAGTACACTTCATTAATGGTGGTCGAGTGATGATTTATCATCCAAGCTTAACTTTGATACTTTGCTTTTCATTCCATATGTCAAAGTTTTATGGAATAAAATTTGTAAAGCTGGTTACGTTTTAACAAGTGGCCTGGATGACTTAAGGGCACCTTATAAAGAGAGAAACACACATTGTCAAAATCATCTAAGAACCAGGAACTCTGTGCTCTGCCATCAGAAAGAAGCTGAAATCATCTCCATAATTCACAACTGAGTGGGGACATTTCTGTGCAACAGTGTTATTCCACAAAATTGTTACAATGCCACCCTGAAGCCCTGGCTGAAGACCCTGACTGTGCCCAAGTCTTCTCTAAATTATCAGAGAATGCACATGACTCAGTAAATTCAGTCCAGTCTCAGGAGACCAGAGCTCAAATCCAACCTCAAATGACAAGCAGGAACAGGTTTGCAGACTCCAGACAGGTCTTTTATTAAATCTGCTCCATGTTACCCGTCTCCTGCACGACTTCCAGATGAGCTCCCAGGGGAAAGAGCAGACAGGGACATACTGACAAATTCTGTAAGGGCACATAAATATAGACTATGAATAGTCAGAAATATAACTGGATTCTTGTGAATGAAGTGCATCAGTGGCATGATCAGGGAGATGCTGCTCCATCCAGCATTTGCACTCTGATTATTCTCATGGCAGTGCTCTGTGAAACTGCAGCTCTACATATAGATGACCTTTGTCTACAAACAGCCCACCATTTTCCAACTCATTAAGGGGAGGAGAAGTCCCAATTAAGTTTCTATGACTATCTATAGCAGTAAAATTCCCCTGAAAAATGTGCTATTTGAGAGTAGGTGTATGAAATAGAAGCCCATTGCAACATGGACCTCACATGCTCAGTCCACAGCCTGGGTCTTTTATATTCATTGAAACAACAACAAAAAATCCCAAAACAAAACTCACAATACAAAATATGAACACAACAGTGCCTGACACGGAATTTCTATTAGGATCTAGGTTCACAAGTGAGAGTTGCAAACTCAAGAGAAGGACTTTATTCAAGAAGTGTCATTAAAACTTCTAAAACTTCCCAAAAGAAGTGGGAAATTCCAGATCCTACCACCTTTTGCAAAGTGCAGTCTCAGGAGAAAGCTCTACACAAATTTTAAAAAGTAGCCCACAAAATCTACCAAAACTGAGGTATAAATACCTCAGTATTTGTATGTATACCTCAGTATTTATATATAACAAAAATACCAAAAATTACTAAAAATAACATAACACAAAAAACATTAATTACTGCATGTGTTTTATGTAGTAAATGTAGGAAACCAGCAAATAAACCTTAGTATTTCTCAGATCCTTACATCTTAATACTTTCTGACAATGGCATAATTCAGACGGAAAATCACCAGTGTAATTGTGGCAATTCTGGTTCTAAGTCTGCTAATTGTCCTAAGTCAAGATGTCACAGAAAAACTGATTCTGACCCTTCTTCAGGAAATTATTTATAACAAGCAGAAGAAACAGAAGCCTAAATGTGCTAGTTATCCTGCTCAACACTTCCTGTTTTTTTACTGTCCTATTTCCATTGAAAAAGGCATTTAGGAAAAGACCTGGGAAATGACAGAGGTTTGGAGGGCAGCAGCGAACCCCTGGAGTGTGGAGGAAGCAAGAGGTAAGGCAAAACTCTCCTTCAGCTGAACCCACAGGCAGCAAGTACCGAGTCAGGAGCCTGACAGAGGGCAGCAATCTTGTCTGCACATGCCTGGATGAGGAGTTTTAAAGGAATGCGATCTGAATCAGCAATGTGCTGATCTTCCTCTACATGACACCAGGAGCAGGCATCCTAATGAAAGCACAGCACAAGCATCAGAAAAGGAACTTGCAGAGTCCAGATGGTGTAGGAGAAAAGTTGGTTTTCCTGTAATTGTGTAGCACTCTTAACCAAATCAGAGGTTTTTCACCTTCTTTTCACCCTTCTTTCTTCCTCTCTCTAGATAAAAATGCCAAACCCCTAACCCTGGTCTCTAGAGACAAGACTTCCCATTAATCTGTTTCAACCCCTTCTCTTCATTATCTTGTCTCACAGGGATGTTTCCCTTTGGATCTCACTTCTTAACACGGTAAGTGTTTCATGCCAGACATCTCAGAGTCCCAGTGCTGGACAGGATGGAGCACAATGGCCCCAGCAGATCCTGCAGTGAAGGTGACCAGAAGACTGGTACTGCAGAACACACAGCATAGCACAGCTCTCCTTACAGATGCATTTTCCTCACAGAAGCAACCAGACTCTTGGTCAGAATGGTCTGGAAAAAATGTATTTCATCAGCAGAAGGACTTTAAGAGGTGGCAGTATGTCTTTTATAAACTTTAAAACAATTCAGAGCTCAAATCTGCTCGGACACTAGAAGCTTGTTCTAACATCAGTTTAGCTCTGCTTGCAGTACTGTCTGCAAAAGCTAATTTGTCTTCTAATTTCATTCTCTGTTTGGAAAGAAAGCCCTTAAAACTGCTGTGGTCAACTGAAGTGGGCAAAGGCCAAATTCCAACTTACAAAATCCTGGTAAATACCGAACATTTCAGAAGGTTAAAAAATTGACTTCTAAAGCTCTGAGAAAATGCCTTCCTCTCAAAAAATGGCACTAATGTACATAAGGAATGAACAATTAGGATTTCTTTTTAACTGAATTTGTTTGCCCACTGGATAAAGAAAAGCAATTGTCAGAAGAGAATGAAACTCCAAATTCTTACCTCTGTACGGTGTCCTCAGAAAATTTAGTAGAGAAATTAAATAAGCTAAAAGTGTTGGTTCTTGCTTCAGTTTTTGATTGTTCTATTAAGGTATAGCTTGAATTTTCCTGTGAAACTTTATAGTGAAAAGACCATGACATCTATTAATACATGAGAAATACTAAGGCAGGAAGATCTTTTCTATGAATTTTTCCTTCTGACAGTCTAAAACAGGTATTTAAAAAGTAAACAAAGTATTCCTGTACTGTGTGATCAAAATCTAAGAAAAGGGGTAGTGGCTAAGCTGGGTGCTGAAATACCAATCAGTTTGCTCTCTGCAAGTAACAGAGCCCCAGGTCCACACAGCCTCTGAAAAAAATATAAATACCTGATTCTTCCTTGACAGAGAAATTGTTTTGTTTTGTTAATTATTTTCTACCAGCAATTAATTTCTATGTATTCTAATGAGCATTATGCAGCCTTCTGCATGAGTTCAAAAGCTTTCCTGAAAAACAGGAGAAAATGATCTGGGCCTTGGAAATGATCAGGAAGCCAACAAGAAGGAACAGCAAACTTGTTACCTCGTGCAGTGTATCCTCCAATAACATAGATCTTGCCCTTGCATTCACAAGCTGAGAATTCTGCAAGAGGGTTTGGCATGGATGCCACAAAATTCCACCAGTCATTCTCCGGGTTGTAGCACTCCACATTGGAAAGGGATTGGCCACCGATGGCATAGAGCTTTCCACTGACAGCCAGGAGCTTGAAGTTGGATCTGAAAGAACAGATTGCAGCACTGAAATGAGGTGCATCCATGTACAGAAATAGAGAGGAAAACTCTTCCTATCCAGGCTCTGACACACTCATCACCTTTCACAGCTTTCACCACCACTTGAAGTATCTGTAGCATCTGAACTCTTCTGTGCAAGGCCGAAATGCTGTAACTACACTGCAATTACTCAGGACAGTATCCACTGACAGTTTGAATGTTAATGATGATGCTGCTGAGACTAAGGGATATTTTATTTTTCAGTCTGTGCCAGTTCAGCCCTAGATGTTCATATAACCAATGTGCTCAGTAGATGGCTCGTTTTTAATTGGCTTTTAGAAATGTGCCATTGGTAGAGAAAAATGCATTACATGGACACACAGTGAAAGATATAATTTAAGTTAAAATTTCAGAAATTTCAAACAAGACTTGATGGATGTCTATGAATGCATGCTTGTTTTAGGCTCTATTATGCAATCTCAAATAACCCTAATAAAAAAGCAATTTAAAGTGGAACACATTGAATCCTGTTCTGCAAAAGAAAGAAGAGAGAATCTTCTGTACCCTATTCATCATTAAACTACTAAATACATCCTCAGAAACAAGATATATCTGTACATTATGTTCTACCCATAGCTGAACAAAAATTACATTGCACCCCATGAGCAATGCCCTCCAAACTGATCCTTCATTTCTTAGTCTGTTCCACTATGCTCTCAAAATTCGCACATGGCAAAAGGCAACTTCCTAATTCCTGAAGCATAAGAAGTCTCCTATCTCACACCCTGAAGGTAATGCAGACAGAAACAAATGGTCAATGGGTATTAAAAGTGCAGATCTGGAGGAAGAAACTGGAGGAGATGAAGACAGAACTCTGGTGTGCAGCTCTTCTTCCAGCTAGGGAGGCTGGTCTAACAAAGGATGAGCTTTTCCTCTCCCCAGGAACAGTCTCACTGCCTAGAAATGTTGTTCCTTCTCTTCTGCTGAGCCAGTTGAGATTTTATCATGAGTGTCCCAATTAACTGGATGTGTGGCAGTCCCTGGAGCTCACTGGCTCAGTGCAAAGCCAAACAGGGAACTGTTATGTCTGTAAAACCAAAATGATGTTTCAGACCTGCACTGGCCTGCTGGGCAGCAAAGGGAGTTCCACCCTGCTGGAATCCATCATTCAAAACTCACTGCTAAGTACTTTTGCAGGGCTTTGTCTGGACAAAACAAACCCTGCCTAGCTGCAGACTGCCCTGCAACTTCTTTTTATTACATGTATTTGGAAAAAGGATTTGTTTCCAGATGGAATCACTTTGTTCTTGTCAGCCTGATACAGCTCTGGAAACTAAAATGCTCCTTTGAAGGAATTAATTGCTTTTTATTCATTTTTTCCCCCCGACATTTACGATTAGGTTAGTCTGTTCATATTCCATCAATAGCAATTATGCTTTCCAGTTTAGAAAATCCAGAATAACAGGGCAATCAAACACAGATATGAAATGAGGATAACTAATTGCAAAACATTCTGATTTTCAAAGCAATTTAACTGTTGTAAAAGTTAGGACAGAAAAAAAATCCACGAATTAACAAAGGGAAAACTATCTATTGAAACACAAGCAGCACAACTTGCAACTTTAAATATTCTAAAAGGAGGTTACAAACCTTTGTGTCAGTCATTTAACCACTTCAAACACTCATTAAAATGGATGACATTCAGTGGAGGTATCTCAGATTTATGGAATTCGTTAACAATAAGGTTCATTTTACTTAAAAGTAGCTGCAAATATCTATCAGCACACTTTATATGAAAGTCTGGACAATAGCTCAATATGTTATGAAAAACTTCTGCCATTCACCTTTCCATGCCAGTAACAACAGGTGTCTTTATGGAGAGTGCACATTAGGAAATATTTAGTCCATTTTTATACTTTTTTAATGTGTTGAAGCAGCTGGAAACAAGGAAAGCAAACACTGAGCAGGGAGCCAGCTCTCCATAACCAATAGTTCCATGGACTACAGCCTGGAAACAGCTGGGCCAAATCCATTAGATTCCACCATGACAGAACTCCACTCATAACTGCTACCTGAAGGATCAAGACGTATTCCCCAAAAACCAGGCCTAGTGGGTCCCTTCTTGCTGGGACAAGCCAAGGTATAAGCTGCCTTCTGCTGCCCCCATTCACTCTGAACTGGACCGCAGGAACACCACTGCAGCAAGTGACAGCTGTGGCGTTTTACCATCACTCAAAATCCATTCTTCACTCAACAAAGTGCAAAGCGCTGCATGCACAAAAGAAGGAAAGTATAATGCACGAATGTAAAGGAGCTGGAGGTCAGAGAAGCTTTCTGCATGCAAGACAACATTCCACAGCTTCCCAAAATCCCACTCTGGATCGTGCTAGGTGTATCTGCAGGAGGTCATGGTGGCAGTGGCTATAAAGGACCAGCACACATGGTTTTTGTTCACTGACAATCTCGCTTAGTGTACAACAAAAAAGAGTTAGCCCATATACTAGGGAGAACTTTTTGATCAGACGGGTGGCTAAAGATGGAAACAAGATACCTGGGAGGAGGATTGCAGTGTAGGCTGGAATTTACACAGCTGGAGGATTTCAAGAGCAAGTTAAATGTGTATTTATTTGCAAGGTAGCCTTGGTCCTACTGGAGAACATGACCCTTGGATTAACCAACGTTGTTTCTTCCTGCCAAATGATCAGTTTAACCTTAAAATTTCTCAAAAATCAGATGACTTCTTTATTCTAGAGTTAAAGCACTTACAATAGATACAAGGAATCATGAAAGCACAGTTATGGAGCAATTCCAAAGTGTTTTACATATTTTCAGTAAGTTCCCTTTTTTCCCTTTTTTATATTTCTTGTGTGAGCTTGCAGAGTACACTGCATTAAACATTTAGCTTTAGAAGTGTGTGATACATTTCTGGTAAGTAAGGTATGACCAGTTCTAACTTAAAAAAAATTTGAAGTCTATTATTTTCTTCCAGCACAGGAGAATTTTGAGTGAAATAAAAAAAAAAAAAAAGGTACAAAATTAAGAAGGAGAAGGTCTCCTGAACAAGTAGCATTCCCCAGAAGCATCATCTTCTATATTCCTATAAGAATCTTCAGAGTGGCAACAGTTCAGACACAGATTTCTCAGAAAAATCATATTTCATGTACATGTGCATAATTCCAGCCTGGGGCTTACACAGGTCTTCCAGACCTGGAAGATTTACCTGCCGTGAGTAGGAAGGTTCTGAAGGAAAAAAAAGTGGAATACACACCTCTATCTGGCACACGCAGTAGAAATCCTATGAGTATATTATTTTTAAAAAGTAAATTTCAACAGACAGTGTTCACTTAAAAAGGTTTGGAAAGGTATTCAAGGACATTACTGCAACAGTTCCCTATCTACTTTGTTACCTTCTTGACCCCAAAGGGATTTTGGGCAACACTTACATGGAACTTTTAAAAAGTTCAAGTCATTCTGTCTCTTGGGAATTCCAAGTACAGAAACATCTCTAGAATGAAAAGGTCTAGAAAACGACCTGAAAATGATCTGTTATGGACTATTTGTGATCAGCACTGGATTTAGCACTCAGACATGAGAAATTCCATACTCAGTCATAGGCTTCCTTTGTGAGCCTGAGCACATTATTTTAGCTCCCTTGGGCATGCACAAATTTGGAATAACACACTCTGAAGCTCCTGCGGGCATCACATGAACATTAAACAGGAGCTGCCTATTGTGGAAAAGTTTGAAACTGAAGTAATAAGACCTGTACACCTAAAAAGAAAGCAAACAGTGCAGACCCAAACCAGAATTCAGGTGGGTTTCATCTTCTACTTAGAAGTAAGTCAGGAGTGTTTCATCTAAGCATATGGAGAGAATCCCAGCATCCTGGGATTCTCCATTATGACAATGGAAATAATTCATGATAAAAATACCTCAGAACTTAAAAGGTTTTTTAGGACAGAAAACTCTTATATGAACAGCAAAGCAGCAAAATTATATCCATAACTCCTCAGCCTTCCCTCAAGGCTAACATACGCAGTCACTCATGCAGAACAAATCCAGATCCTCTGCTGTCTGAAGTCAAACCAACTTCAATGGAAACCAAAGCCCTCCCTCCTGAAGGTATGTCAAATTTCATCCACGGGATGTAATTGTATCAGCTGACATAAATGCGTGTGCCAGACAGTCACATGGCTGTAATTCCTAACCAGAAAGCTGGGCAACCACCCTGCTTATTTTACTATAGCATAGCAAACTAAAAATATAATGCCAAGGAAACTGCACCTCTAACTGCAGCACAGATGTGTGGAAGACAGGCAACAGCACTGGACATGTAGCATGCAAACCCATCATGTTAAAAATGGCCCTGCTCTTGGCTCCTAGGGCACAGGCTATCTCTCCCTGCCCCTAAACACCAAGCAGGTTACCAGGGAGCTGACATGTTATGTCAGATAGAAAAATTAATAATTAACTGCAGAGCTGAGACTTCATAAGCTGGTAAAATCAGAAACTTTTTCTGAAGGGGTCAGCTAAGTTTCCATGAAAAAAAGCTCCCCCAGTTACTCAGGGAGCAACATCCTCAATGCTGCTTTGCAGGTGTCATTCTAGGTACCTTTTGGCCTGCAATAATTAGGATGAAATGTAAGACTAAAGATTATTCCAAATATACCCAATTGCCTGCTGCCTTTCTGCAGTAAATGGCCAATGTGAAATTCTATTCAAAGGAACACCTTTGAACAGGTGTCACCTGAGATGTGTTTGAAGATTAAGTTGGTGTGGCAATGCCACTGCAAACAGTAATAGGAGAAAATATCCATGTGTTTATGTCAAATATAATGATTATACATCCTAACAAAAACAAAAAAAAGGCCAAGTGTGGAGGAAAAATGGTCATCTAGAGTTTGAATACACAAACTCTTAAAAAAAAAGGTGCAAAAAGGGCCTTGAAAAGGTTTTTTTAAAACCTATGTTGCAGTCAACACACATAGTAACAGCTTTCTTGCTATAGACATCACACAAACAGAACCTCGTGACTCGATCAATGTGGGACTTCTGTGATGAAGTTAATTTCCATAGGAGACACTGTGTGGGCTGACCTCATTCTCCTTTTCTAGGAAGGCCAAGTGCTCCCAACCCCATTTACACAGGTCCTGCTGTCAAATGAAGCCAGCTAAAACATCTCTGTTCCCCAGGCACCTCAGGAAACTCTGCTACAGGCTCAGCCTCTAAGAAACAGGTCTGTAAGAAAAGGTGTTTGTAGTGTTTAAAAGCCAAACATTCATTTTACAGATGAAACTTTTCCCACCGCTGTTCCGAGCAGTCAGCAACACTGAAAAAAATGGTTTCTGATCAGTTGTGATGAGTGATTATTTCAGTAAAATTCTCACAATACAAGAATTGGGGGGGGGGGGGGGGGGGGGAGGTGAAATGGGAGAGACTTAATTTTAGGTCTAATCCCTGTTTTGAGGGGGGATAAGTGGCAAAAGCTAAATAGAGCTAGGAATAGAGACTGAAGTTTAACTATCCAGATACAAAGCATTTATGCCAACAGCTTGGGTCTCTGTCCATGCTCTTTCAATTCATTGGATAGAGAAAAGGATTTCCACTCTACAATAAATTTTGGCTTCCTTACTTTTTCAGAGAAAAGATAAAATTTAAAGTACTTTTACTACAATGTAAATGAAGAGGAAGTTCATGTTGGAAACAAAGCCAGTTTGTTTCAGTGAAATGAAAGCCTTTGTTTTTATAACTCTAAAGTGTGTTTAAGATAGAGGAGCTACAACTTTGGCCAGAGAGAAGGCCTCTTTTCTTTTTAGGCCTTCCTCAAGGCTAGATCTCTATTACTCTTCCAAATATAAATTACACAAGTGTTTCTGAATGCAAACTAAAACATCCATGTGTAATAAATGGTTCAAAAGGATAAAGGTGAAAAAGAAAAAATTATCAAAATGATGAATGATTCAAAGATCCAAATATTCCAGTCAAGTGAGAAATTTCTCACCATCTTCCTGACTCTCTTCTGGTATTTCACTGAAGTGTAGGCCTACAAAACATTCAGACTTTTATGAAAGTACAAACCACTGGACAACTAAATTGTTTTTGCCATCTCCAGCTCTGGTATAGCCTGCACATCCCCACTAAGAGCAGGAAAACTTATCACACACTTAACTGGAGTTACAATACATCACAAAGAAAGCGGGAAAGGAATTTCCTCATTGGGTTTGTCTGGTCGTTCAGAGCACAGACAGGTCTGTATCTCGTCCCTAAGACCAGACAGGGACACACGCGTACCCCAGTGAACAGGGGTTACCTCTTCTGGTTCATCGAGGCCAGCTGGCTCCACTCGTTGAGGCACGGGTTGTAGCAGTGCGCGGCCGAGATCTCCTGGCTGGTGATGCGGTAGCCGCCGACGATGAACAGGTAATTGTCCAGCGTGGCCGAGCCGTAGCCGCGGACGCTCACCAGATCGGCGGGCAGGTTATTGGCCAGCGGCAGCCACCGCTGCGCCTCCTCGTCGTACCTGAGCATGGCCCAGGGCGCGTCCTCCGCGGGGTGGCAGCCGGCGGGCAGCCCCGGCGGACAGGCGCCCATGAAGTCCCCGAGCAGCACGAGGGTGGCCGTGCCCCTCATGCGCCGCTCCCGCAGCTGCTGCTGCAGCGCCGAGGGCAGCAGGAGGTGCGGGCGGGCGTCGGGCCTGCGCAGCACCTGGTGGTAGTGGGCGGCCATGAAGTCCAAGCAGGCGTCGTGCAGCTCCTGCAGGCCA